GTATGATCTCATTGGGTCTGTGAAAAACCATAACCCATTATCGCCTTTATGAACTTGCCGAACTAGGCCCTTGGGGATTGCTTTAGCCCGTAGAGGTATCTTCGCTGTCAGAACACTTGTCCTCAGGAGAAAGTAGAGTCGAAGTCTGGAGGGAGGCACATGTACACCTCTTCTGTGAGATCCTCATTTAGAAAAGCTTTCTTCCAACTAGAACAAGGGACAACAAGGTAAAGTAGGACCCAAATGGTGTTTAATTTAGCAATCGGAGCAAATACCTCCTCATAATCAACTTCATATGTTTGTGAATAGTCTTTGGCGACTAACCGAGTCTTGTTGCATTCAAAGGATCCATCGAAGTTAAACTTGGGGCTAAAAATCCAGTGACACCCCACGACATTCTTACCTGGAGGAAGGTCCACAACATCCCATTTATGATTTCGTTGAAGGCATTCATCTCATCCATTACTGTAGCTTTTCAGAAAGGGTCAGCTAATGCTGCTTCAATAGTGGATGAGAGATGATAATTCGTCGAGACATTAGCAAACGCTTTGTAGGTTGGCGCTACACTGTAAAAAAAGATATATTTTTTCATGGAATAAAGGGAGCTTGCCTGATTACATACTTCAATAGGAAAACTCACCTCCTCATTCAAAGTGAGGTTAGTTTTGGGGATGTAGCTTGGAGTGAATTCTAGGTAATGTAAAGAGGTAGCGGTCTCTAGAGTAGGAACATCGGTATAAGTGCGTCGAGTTTAGACATGGAGGATGAGAGGAAGTTCTGGTTGTTCGTTAGGTGGCGGATCCAGAGGGACAAAGGGCTCCTCGGATATGGTGATTGGAGAAATATCTATTGGGGTCAGATAAGGAATAGTGTCCAAGAAATCAAGCTCCCCCTCACTTGAGGCATTGATGTGGAAATAGTGAACATTTTCATGGAAGGAGACATCTACATTCACATAATGTTTATTTGTGATAGGACAAGACACCGATAGCCTTTTTGAGTGTCAGAATATCCAAGGAAGATACATCTTATAGGCCTGAGATCAAGCTTGGGTTCAAGGGTGGTGAAGAACAGATAGGACAAGACATCGATAGCCTTTTTGAGTGTCAGAATATCTAAGGAAGATACATCTTATAGGTCTGAGATCAAGCTTGGGTTCAAGGGTGGTGAAGAACTGATTGAAAGGGAAACATGACATCAAGATGGCTAATGGAGTTTGAAGTTATGAGCTTTTGTGGGGACTCTATTGATGAGATAGGTGACAATAAACATGACATTTTTCCAAAAATTTTTCGGCACATTAGATTAAAACATAATGAGGCGAGCCACTTCTAGATGGTATCAGTTTTTTTTTCTCGGCTATCCCATTTTGTTAAAGAGCGTTTGTACGTGAGCTATGATGGATGATACCCTTACATATTAGGATGGTAGAGTGAAAAATTCACTACCATCGTATGTTCGAAGAACTTGAATTGGCGTTTTGAATGGGTCAAAATGGAATGAAAATCAAAACATAGACCCACATCATTTGAGTGTGATCATCCATGAAGACACAGAACAACTGTTTATTAGTGTATCTGGAAGTGCGATAAGGTCCCCACAAGTCACCGTACATAAGTGAAAAAGAAGCGGAAGGTGTGCAAGGGTGGGGTGGATAAGGAACAAGATGATCTGTAACTAATTAACAAATCTCACATTTGACGCTAGCAATATTTTTATTAGTAAACACTACAAATACAATTGTTTTAAATATTAAAAAATTAGGATGACTTAAACGATAATGTTGCAACATAATAGGATATTTAGTGGATTGAGAAAAACTACAATTACTGAGAGAAGTGTCCTCATTCTCCGTACCTTTTATCTTGGAAGAAGTAGAGTTCGGCTACTCGCTTAGCAGTTCCAATCATACTCCCCGAACGCGATCCTGAAAGACACAAACATCAGAATAAAAATGAGCAACGCAATCCATGTTATGTGTCAGCTTACTAATGAATAACATGTTACACTTCAACAGGGGAACATGTAATACAGCTTCTAGAGTTAGATCGATTGTTAACAACTGACCCGTTATCAATAATAGAGTTACAGGAGTCATCAACAATTTTAACTGTATTTTTCTCAGAGCATGGATAATATGTCGAGAAAGCTTGAGTGCATTTAGTCGTGTGATCCATGGCACCTGAATCAATGATCCATGGATTAGAAAAAGTAGTGAGCACCATACGAGTGATACCTTGATGGATGTCGGAGGTTGATGGGTCGGACTAGATCCGAGCAATTTGATTAATTGTTTCATTTGACTCTTATGTTTTGTTTGAGAGGCAACCTCCATCGCCCTTTGAATTTACCTTAGAGGTGTTTGCTTGTGTCCTCCTATGTTTTGTATTTTTTATCTTTTATTTTTTGTTGTAGAGTCATCGTTGTAATCGATTTCAATTTCAAGAATAATATTTGTGTTTCTTTTGGGCTTTGGCTTCCTCCTTCGGTATCATTTGCTCCATCTGACTCTCAAGAGAGTCGAGTGATTATAGAGTGTTCCGAGTGGGAGCTGGTTGTACTGTAGCAGATTCAGATGTCGTAGTGAGACCCTCGACAGAGGAGGATTTTAGCTAAAAGGAAACTTGCAGCAAGTCGGTTGGAAGAAAACGCTCCAGGAACTAGCGGCTAAAAGGAACCGGCGACTGAAAGGAAACTTGTGGCAAGGAACTTGCAGCTGAAACGAAATGCTGCAAGAGATCTAGCCAGTAGGAGGGAAAAAACTGCAGGAACCAGGCTCTGAAATTTGGAGGGTTGTAGGAGATCTAGCCAGCAGAGAAGTTTAGAAGGCTTGCAGGAAGTTCCGACCACTAAGGTTTGATTCGTGTCTCTGATACCATGTAGAAATTTGAGATCGAGAATGATACGTCCATTGATAGGAAAAGGGGTATCAATACACAATACAAGTCCTAAATAAAAGGAAAGAAAAATTCAGAAATAAGGCCCCAAACATGACACTCAGCCCACACAAAAATCACTAAATCAAATGGTTCCAAAAAGGAGAATATACAACAAAAAACATAAGAGATCTAAATAAAAAATCAAAAGGTGCCAAAATAAGAGATCAGTTAGCTGGAGATCAGGTAGCTGGAGAGCGACCCGATTTTACCTTGCCTCTGCCTCTAATTTTAGGGAAGGAGCCAGCTAATAAATTGGTCAGATGAGTGTCATTGCCAGTAGTAATCAACATATCATCTAATAGATTCCCTAGCTCGAGTCGTCCTCCGTTCTTTTTCTTCCTCCTCATGTAGACCTGTCATTCCTCATCCGAAGATTGGCTGACCTGATCAGCAGAATGGTCTGAAGTGTGCATGATATGTGTAGGTTGTTGAACATTAGAAACAACTACTTGTTGTACCAGCTGATCTTCTATCGGGTCAAAGGAGCACTCCGTGTGTCTTGGCATGTAAGTGGGTCTTCATCAATAATAGTAAGTGATATCAACACATTTGGATCTGTATCTATAGTAAGGTGTTCTTTATATGGAACTGCAATGTTGGAAAGAGGATCGGATTAAACCTTCACAACAATGATGGTAGATGGCTGATTTTTAGTGATATTCAGCTTTAGATGAGGATGCAAACGATAACAAATAGTAGGACTATGACCACATACTACATTGAAAGCAATAAGGAGGATGTAGTTCTATTTCAACCTTTTGCCAATACCCGTTGTGAATAGTGTCAATCCATATCTCATCCGGAGTTTGTTGAGTGATATCTCTCTTAACTAAAACACAAGATACAGAAGGTCTGGTGATAACAAGCGTAGGACTATCCATTTTGAGAGGCTTACCGTAAGCAGTTGCTAAAGAGTATATGATTTTTATGTTGAACAGATGTAATTTTAACCCCGGAAACTTTATCCAAACTAAAATAATAGGGGAAATGATAGGGGATTCCGCTTTTAGATCAAAATCGACAGTTCACTTCTGAATTTTCATAAAACGATTGTCGATCTTGATAACTTGTGTAATTGGCATCGTGAGATAGCTGAATAAGTATATGTCGACCGTCTGGTACACCAATGTTCCAACTGCCCAATAGTTTTATAACATCAAATTTTTTTCCTAATGATCTCCAGTTTTTGGTGACCATAAAGAAATTTCCCCACTAGAGCAAAACGTCAAGAGAACGCTAGAGCAGCAGTTTCAACCTCAGTGAGAATAAGTGTAGAGTTCCCATTTTTTTTCCCAAGTAGAGTTCTCATTTTTTTTCCCAAGCTTTTAAATAAAAGTGTGATCACCGCCACCTTCAAGAGCCTCGTGGAAAGATTGTGGAACGTTGCAGAACTTACATATACCAAAACCAAGCTCTGAACCTGGAGAGGCACGAGTGAGAAAGTCGTCGGCAATGACATTTGCATAAAAACAAACCATCTCCCTCACAAGATGGTCACGGTCAGAAAAGAACGGTTTGGCGGGCAAGAAACGGTCTGACAGGCTGCAAGGAAGCGACGACGTTAAATTGCTGAGCAGCGTCGAACAGAGATCACGCGAGCTAAGGGAGCTACGAGCGACAGAGGCTGAGCTATCAGACACAGACCAGGGAAGCAGAGACGACGTGAGCTAAGGGAGTTGCGAACGAACAGAAGCTGCGATCGAGACGCTGAGCAGTATCATGACGACGACGCGAGCAATGGAGCAAAGCTGCGAATATATATATATATATATATAC